GGACCCGTCAGTCTTTGTCATAGCTTGACAAAGGGACCCGTCAGTCTTTCAACATTGCAACATGTTTGATTCATACATTGTGTATAGAGTAAGACTCTGATACATCCTGAGCAAAATTAATCTTAATTAACAATTTGAATATTAAATATTTCCTGAAATTTAAACTTTTGAACAAGTTACATTTGTGACGAAAAATATATCTAGCCTTGTGTTTAGTGCAATGTTGTGTCAATCTTAACTGATTCCAAACTAACGATACTAATATAACAATTGTTATTTTCAAATATTTCTGTTTAAAACATAATCATATAATCATAATTTTAAGTACCTTTAATCTAGCCACTGTTATAAATGGCCCCAGTAAAACATGTTGACCGTTGTGATAGAAAAAGGTTATCTGTCCACTAAAGTATTTGATGGATCACTAGTAATACAACAAGATTCGTGGTGCCTGGATTTACAAGGTTAGACTCCAGTTGTCTCCACTTCAAGATGTATATATAGTCATGATTTTAACTCATTCACCCCTGAAATTTCATAATGAACTATTCCAACCTTTGAATTGGAAGAATTTAAATGTGTGTTCAGGGGTGAATGAGTGAATCCCTCGTCTAAAGGTTTTAAACAGACTGTTTGGTGTGGAGTGAGAGGGTAGAATGAGGTCCGAAGTAACTCAGGGTTTACACTGTAGTGGTTTGAGGTATAACTTTTTAGAGCACTTTGTAAGTTGATTCTCTACTGAATTTATGCATGGTATACAACATGTGCATAATAGTATTTTGAGTAATGATATAAAACATTAAGTTGAAAAGTACTGATAATGGAGAACCATTTATAAAGACAGAGTTACAACTGTTAGACTGTTAGATAGTATGTATGCAATTACAAAACAAAGGTTGCAAAAAAATAAAAAAAATAAAAAAGGAGATGAAAGTTTACACTCAATAATGATAATAATTTTAGGTTCTTATATACCGCTTTATCCCAATCCTGTTTGTAGGTCGTCTCCAAGCGTTTCACAAATTATTACCTGTGGTTATAGGGCCATTGCAACCAGCCAACATCTTTCTCAACTCCCTGGGGAGCATACAGCCAGTGCTGCCATTTCGGCGCTCACAGATGGCATTCTAAAATTCTAGCTATGCCCAACCACGTACTCATTTACAGCTGAGTAGACTGTAACAAGCGACGTAAAGTATCTTGATCAATGATACAACACACTGAATAATGTTGTACTTGAACTTAGGATCATTTCGAAATGTTAAAATGATTTTGTTAAGTTGGAAAAATTGCATACATGTTAACTAACAATGCCTCAATAAAGTCACACCTTTCAAGCAAAAGGTAAAGTTAGATAAAAACCCATAGGCATATAACTCACCACAAAAAATAGCTGGTATTCTATAGAACTAAAGCAGAATATATAATTGAACTAAGGAATAATTTCCCTTCAATGTAAACATCTAGTATCATTTGCAAATCGATATAAAAAGTATGATATTATGAATTTGTTACAACAACAAAATATAACACCACTTAAAATGATAGAAATTGATAAAAATATTTATAAAACAAAATAAAATAGATTATTGACATCGTTAGAATATAGTTTGAAATAAAATCACTGAAGGTAGCTTATGTACGTGAGGTTCATCTTGATGACCAAAGATTTAAAGTAATAATGATGAAGAGGCAGTAAAATAATAATGAGACTGGTGAACTTCAGTTTGTCGTAGATCTTTCGCTAAGTCAGAATTACAACAATGAATCCAACAATCGGCAGTTACCTTAATTCACATAAATTACTGGTATCGTCATTAACTCATTCACCGCTGATATTTCATAATGAACTCTTCCAACCTATGAAATGGAAGAGTTCAAATGTGTCTTCAGGGGTGAATGAGTTAAATATCAAACAAGAATACATCTTGAAATAGCATGGTTGAATGATTGTGTATTGACTTTAACAATGGATATCTATCAAAGAACAATGATACTTTAGATATCAATGCAATATCTAAAGCATGTGGATTTTAATATTTTCATATTTATATCATAATTCATCAAACAAATATTCAAAATTATTATTTCATAATAATAAGTTCTCACATTTCCAACATGCAAACTTGCCGATGCTTCCAACACACATTGTGAAACTTCACATAACATCGTTATCAATGTGAACATTCACATAACAGCTTCATATAACACCATTATAATAACGAATCATGAACATTGAAAGTAAATTTTACTTTACAAAATAATTTATCGGTAATGTGAAAAACAAAACGTTATATCAACATCATGAGATATCATGGTCGTTTTGCTTGTTAGATCACACGTTGTCAGGTTTTACTTCATATCATTCAATACTGTGAATCAAACATAAGCATTTTCTTATATTAAAATGCAAATACACATATGTAATAAACCAATGTTGACAGCTCTTAACATTTCATTGCAATTTGGAGATTCATTCCTGTAGCACTTCCAACATTTGCTTTAAAATCACCAGACACTAGTTTGAAATTCATGTCTCTTAACTCATTTAACCCTGAAATTTCTTAATGAACTATTCCCACCTTTGAATTGGAAGAGTTCAAATGTGTCCTTAGGGGTGAATGAGTTAAACATTAAACTTTTTTTTTTCACATAAGTTAAAGTTTTGTATTTAGAGTCTTAACTTTTATTCCTTTTGGTATTAAAAAAGAATGTTTCCAGAAATCTTGAAAAATGAACCATATTGTAATGGCATATTTGAAAAAAAAAAAAAATTTATGAAAAAACAATGGTAAATTTTATTTTGCAAAATCAAACAGTTTCTTCAAGAAAATTGGAACCAAGAGCATTACTTCCTATGTGAACACATTGATACACTATCATATGGGATACTGCTGTGGTATTTGAGAGTAAATGCTGTTCAACAAGCAATGTGACATAGAATACCTACGATGATTCACCTACAACTTCAATATCATGAAATGGTAAAATGTGAACAACAAGAAACCTTCACATAACACTTCAATGTGAATCATAATAAATTACCAGAGCACTTTATTCACAGAAAGTGAATACAAGTTCTGTGAATACAATCAACTCTTCATTCATATAACATGTAAACAACAGCATTGCTCATTTCATATCACATTAAAATGTGAAACACTGAAATGTCAAAATCGGCAGTGCTTCATTCAGTTAACATGAATATGTAAATTGTGAATACACTATACATGCAATTCCTTATTGAAATCACATGAAAATGCAAATTACCAGCAACACCTGATCCAGATAGTACATCAATGGGAAATGTGAACACCAACAGCTTTCACAAAACATAAAAATGTGAAATGTGAATACATGTACCGGCAATGCATATTTCACATAACATTTTAATGTGAAAAACAGCAAAGTTTTATTCATATCAAAAAATGTGAAATGTTAATTGAACATAACATTATTGTTACCTAATATAACAAATGGTGTGGAGCAATATATAACAGTTATACCTACCCATATGTTAGTGTTATTTGTCAATATACAAGTTTATAACAGTTTTACTTGTCAGTTGTTCTACATAAGAGAATCACATTTATCTTTATGAAATTGCATCATAAATGACTATTGGTACAAATCCTCCGTTTTATCTTTCTCATATTAAAAATGACTTACAACAATTTGTATATATCACATAATAAATGTTTTTTCTGATGAAAAACAAAGGGAAAACATCCCCTTTTTTACACCTGTTAACAGATAATACCTCTACACTGTTACACCGGTCAACAATATCTATAACAATATCTGTACATCTTCCCTGTAGGTTAATAATTACCTGCATGGCACAAATATGTAAACTCTCCCAATATAAAAGTTGAAATAGTTCATTATAAAATTTCAGGGGTGAATGAGTTAACATTTTCTGTTGACTAATTTTAACTCATAAAACCTGTTAACTAGAGTTACCTCCCTTCCCTACTCTACTTATTATTTATATGTTAGCACTAATATTATATTACAAAACAACAACAAATCTTCTGACCAATGATTATGTTAAGTTTATATTCAAAATGTCTTCTTGTTTTCAATTTTTTACTTGTAATTAAAAACTATTTAATAATTAATACTTCCATAAAAAATCTCCAATATCAAATCACAATCTTTTTGTTACCAGTAATTATGATGTCTGATTTCTTGTGTGTTATATCAAATGGAAGTATTGCCAATATTTAAGGAAAAATGTGTTTTTAAACAAGACACAAGATTCAAACATATAAGAGATTTCCAGATTCACGTTTGTAAAATTTGACACTTTTCACACACATCTACAAAATAATTAAAAAACTTTGAAGAAGGGAAAAAAATGATTAATAAGCAAACTAGATTACAGTGTTTTATTTTTTTCTATTTCTGTTCCCACAGTTCGGTCATCTTGAGAGAAAAAAAATCTATCAAATGATTCAACAGAATGTCATTTGCAACTTGCTTGGTAGTAAATCTGTAGAAAATTTACAAGTTTTCAAAATTTCTAAAGATTTCATATTTTTTGTAAAATGAGCCAACACGAAATAAGAACACATGTACAATAACTACTCCGTAATGAATATCAAATTCATTTTTCGGTGTCAATCTTCAATTCATGCAAAAACTAAATTTGTATAAGAAAGCATCAAAAGGTTTCAGAATCGCCATACATTTTCCATTTTTTTTTACGGTAACAAAATATTGCAGACAAATTTGTATCAACAATACAACTCCCCCAGAAGCTTATACATGTATATCCTTTTTGAGTTCTATCACATGTACACATCAAATATCAAAGAATATTCATTATACTTACTGGAAAATTCCATTTTATTGTACTCCCTTCTTTTTTTCCAAGAAATACACTTACTAAAAATTGAGCTAAATTATTAAATTTACAGTACCGATTGTGGTAGAAAAAAAGTGTCAAATTTATCACATGAGAAATTATTTTCCATTTCATTAAAAAAAAAAAAAAAAAAGATTTTTAACCAAACTCTTATTATAATCATTTTAAATATTCCTCTTCCTTGTTTTAGTATATCTCATGCTTTAACAAATTATATTGACATATACGGTAACCCTGACATTTGCAATCACACTCTTATTTTTCCTTAAGAAAGGTTTTACAAACTTTTTCATTGTCGTAATTGACATGTAATACAGTACAGATGGCAGAGGTGAGATTCATGCGCTGAGGTGCCTTGGCGTGTTTCACCCAGTCATCAACTTCCGGATCATAGATCCAGATCTCGTCTTCAGTGGCATTGTGATGCTCGTGACCCAGCGACAAAATCTGTCCTTCAAAGTGCATGTAATGTCCCACCGATCGCCCACTAAGCGTCGACGACAGCATTGTCCACTGATTGGTGGAAAAGTTGAAAGACTCAATTGGGATCTGTCCATGAAGAGGTGCTCCCTGTCTAGGGATGCCACCCACAACATAAATTTTCTGCTGAAACGATACCATGTCGTGCAGACGACGCGCGTAAAACATGCCTGGGAGTGATTCATAGTGACGGGTGAGCGGGTAGAAGCACATGAACGTGTTGGTCGCCTGGCGATCCTGACTGGACACTCCGCCCGAGAGGTAGATATGGTCACCTTCCACTGCTGACGCCAGGGAGTGGAGAGGGCTGGGAAGTGGAGGTAGATCACCCCATGTATTTGTGGTGACGTTATAAAACTCCACTGAGTCCAAGATTGCAAACTGCTCTGTTGAGCCACCAAATACATACAGGCAACTCTTGTGAGCCGTAAGTACGAAGTCCATCCGTAACCGTCTCATTGGGCGAAGTTCCTGACTGACCAAGTGACGTGGATCGAAACGTACTAAGGAGCTCATCAAGGTACCCCCTCCAAAGTCCACCACACGACAAATGTAACCAAAATTGTCCACAACTACAAGTCTACAGTCCCTGCTTCCATTAACATCTGAGAAAAGACGGTAAAAAACCCCTGAGATATGATTGTGTGCAGTTATCTGAAATGGCATATATGACGACCCATGGTGAACTAATACTAGAGAAGGGATTTCACTTCGAATTGTGGATATTTCCTCAATGTTTGGATGTCCTTCTTTGCAGTCGATGTGGTATTTGAACCCGCGTGCCACATATTGGATAGCCCCCGGACACCTTTTGATTATTTCATTCTCCTGTACAGTGGCCAACTCCGCTTCTGTCATTAGCGGAAATCGAATATGACTAAGCACATCAGGTCCATCGTTTTGAAATCGTCCAGGGCTATAACGAAACCACTTCTCCAGACACTGAAAGAGTTTGTACTCTGAGGAGGTCCTGAGTGCGTTTTGCGAGAGGTACTTTGTAAGTGAAGAGGCATCAAGCTTCAGAAAGATTTGGGTCTGACTGAACTCATAGAAACTGTTCAGGATCATGTTATCCCAGTGATACTGGACCTTTTCGAGGGAATATGTGTCTGCTATGGTGAGAAACTCGTCGGCATTGTCGAAGGTCATAAGTGACTTGATGTAAGTACTGCAGAGTTCTATTGCCGAGGACACCTGGAGATGACTGGCAGTGTTGATGATTTCTGTCAGGTTGTCATAATGGAGAGACATCTCGCCACTATAAATAAACTCCACGATCTGCTGAAGGCCGTCTGCTGTGACTCCCTTCAGGTCCACAGAATTTTGCTTGCTCTCGGCCATGACACCTCCAAACATGACCTTGAAATAATCACTTGTCGCAGCAAGAAGAACCTTGTGGACCTGTCAATATAGAAAACAACATTTAAAATTATATGACAATATAAAGAATCTAAGTATTCATAATAAATTCACCGAGTCATTCACTTCTCATATATATAGTACCGTAAAAACTTGTGTAATTTGGGTACCTGTGTAATTTGTGCTGGTACTTTTTTTGGCTGAAAAAACTGCAAAAAGCTTCTACTCATATATTTTGGACATTATTTTCCCCCTAAAAAACGATGTCAAAAATGCCCGTACAATTGACCTCTGACACAAAACTTTTACACAAATATCTACTCCCTCGTTTCATTCATTAATTAAATGTGTTAATTTAATCACTTTATATCTTGTGTGCAGATGCATATTTGTGTTTGTTTTTGTTGAAGTTCACAGTAACATGATCAGACTGAACACATGCGCGTATCGGCACACACCAACCCAGCTTACATAAACATTCACATCTTAAACAAACCCTCACAAGTAATGTGTAGTGTAGTAATCATAGGTACATATCTCAAGTTGACAATTATAATTAGACACCTATTATTACCCTAAGTACGATCGCTGTGAGAAGGGTTCGTCAGTGGCTTGGATATATTCAGATGTCACCCTGAGAATCTATAACATGTAGTAACTTGTAGGTGTACTCTCTAGGTTTACTGAATGGGATGTAAATACAGTTGTCTATTTCTGCAAGAGTTTTCTCCCCTGTTACAAGGCTGGTAAACTTAGCATTACAAATTGATGGCAGACTTCAGTATCAAACATGACGTCCTGTTATAGATCATTCTAATCCATAGCCCTTGGATATCAGATGGAGCAGCGTTTAGTCAATATACTTCTCTTTATGGACGATGAACATGTTCATGAACTGTCCTTAGGCCTTAATGTGTATACTGACCATTCTTTCCATTACATACAAGTCTGTAAATTGTATCCAGTAAAAAGCCATAAAAATGACACGAAAAACAAAAGAAGCCATAATAAACCGTAGTTAAAGGTTGATGATTGATTATAATCAAAAGTTGATCATTTGATCATTTTGCCCTTCCCAATTCTAATTCCTGATTGCAAATTCCATTATTGATATATATATATGATCAGTTATCGATATATATATATAATCAATTATTCATTAAAATCTAGGTGTTAAATGTTTTCAATGTTAAAAAAGTATTGAAGGTCATATATTCTTTATGATTTTTACTATATGATTGATTAAACCGCATAACAATTGCTTGAAATCCATTTATTATAAAAGAAAGAAACCTACATGTAGTGTATAGTGAACCACTCTGTCTATTGATGTAGTAGTAAGAGTTCTCACTTTAGTTGGGTATTCAGTCCCAAAAAAGTATGAACCAATAATGCAATCGATCATCGATCAGTTTTCCATTTCAAATTACAAACCGTTTATCTATTATGATTTTAATCTGATTGCCCATCATTACGAAACGACCTTTACTTCATGTTTAAGTATTTTGATGGGAGAGATATATACTGGTAAAAAGTGTTGAAAATTAAGAATACATATATATGTAAGAAAGTGAACATAAAAGGGAATCCACGTTTATTCTGATGAAACTATAAATTAAGGTCAATAAAAGTAGGTAGTTTAATTAATTAAAATTTATTTCAAGATATTTTAAGGAACAAAATGCATATTCGGTAATTCCATGGATAGATGATGATACAGCGTAGCACATCTTGGAGAATGTCATATGTTTGTAAGAAAGAGGATTTCATAACATCTGTCTGCATACGCTTTCTATATATATAACCTTTAGTTTCTCGAAGTCATCTGGTCCCATATATGTCAGTGTCTTCCCATGAGTCAGTATGTCTTTGCATTTATTTCTGCAGTAAATGTTATCATTACATGAAGCAACTCTTTACATAGTAATAGATATAGGGTGGTAGACATATCAGAGCTCACACAATTACACATGCACTAGTGTTTACCATGCGTTGACTGCAATTTATTCTGCAGATTGGAATGTTTGACACACAATAATATGGAAGACATCAATTTCTATTAAAACTTTCCTAGTAATTTCTTTTGCGTTATGATCGATACAAACGGTGAACCACTGTCCATCTCGGGGAACAATAATTTTTGTAGGGCATTTATCAATATGTAATTTTCCACAGTTTCCATTTACTTTTGGTAATACACTTTTAATACAACATGATTATTCTCCCATCGTTCCTACAGGAAAACATTATAAGTTCTTTGTTTTATGATTTGCCAACAATATTTCGAGATGGTAGGTACATTAGAAATGCAAATATTGATGTTGTGGCTGCATGTTCTCCAATTTTCTACTTCCCAATTATCGTTGACGGAGTTCCTAATTTCCTGCTGTATTTGATCTAATAAATATCCTGAGAAATCATCAATTTTGGAAAACTTGACTGCTGGCAGTACATTTCAGAAATCAAAAAAAACAATAGCTATAACACACACTTTTCCATTAGAGTTTGAAAGGTGAAGGGATTGTGCCCTCAGACCAGAAAAGAAGACAGGGGCGGGACATTTACTAATAAGAATATGGTAATCAATCTATATAGCATTTATAAGGGATGGGCATTTATTAATATGAATACGGTAATCAATCTATATAGCGAATATAAGGGAGGGGCATTTATTAATATGAATACAGTAATCAATCTATATAGCGAATATAAGGGAGGGGCATTTATAAATATGAATATGGTAATCAATCTATATAGCGAATATAAAGGAGGGGCATTTATAAATATGAATATGGTAATCAATATATATAGCGAATATAAGGGAGGGGCATTTATAAATATGAATACGGTAATCAATCTATGTAGCATTTATAAGGGAGGGGCATTTATAAATATGAATACGGTAATCAATTTATATAGCATTTATAAGGGAGGGGCATTTATAAATATGAATATGGTAATCAATATATATAGCAAATATAAGGGAGGGGCATTTATAAATATGAAAATGAATTGTGGCAGAATAAGGGTGGTTTAATATACTATTTTATATAAAAGAATTCATGTTGAGATAGTAATCAGGTATATTGGGTGATAATTTATTGACATAGTAACTGAGATCTTCCCTAGTTCTGAGCACTTTTCAGTATTTTTATTCAAAGGTTATTTATTCAAAATGGATTTGAGCTGGTCTTAGACAAATTCAACATGAACTGTTTGTTGAATTTGTTGATGAAATGAGCTAATCTTAGACAAATTCAACATGAACTGTTTGTTGATGAAATGAGCTGGTCTTAGACAAACTCAACATGACCTGTCTGATAATGAATGGAGCTGGTCTAAAGATAAATTCAACGTGAACTGTTTGATGATGAAATGAGCTGGTCTTAGACAAATTCAACATGAATTGTTTGATGATGAAATGAGCTGGTCTAAAAATAAATTCAACATGAATTGTTTGATGATGAAGGAAGAAGGTCTTAAGGCAAATTCATTAATAACTGTTTGGTGATGAACGTCAACTGAGCTGGTCTTAGACAAATTCAACATGAAGTGTTTGGTGATGAAATGAGCTGGTCTTAGACAAATTCAACATGAAGTGTTTGATGATGAACTCTGCTGGTCTTAGACAAATTCAACATGACCTGTTTGATGATGAAATGAGCTGGTCTTAGACAAATTCAACATGACCTGTTTGATGATGAAAAGAGCTGGTCTTAGATAAATTCAACATGAACTGTTTGATGATGAAAGGAGTTTGTCTAAAGATAAATTCAACATGAACTTTTCCATAAGATACAGTTTGGAAGTTTGTTCATGTATCAAGTTTTTTATTTTGTATCAAAAGATATATATATGTATAAAAAATGTTTATTTGATTAAATTCAACATGAACTACATATACTTACATTATATATATGTGGTAATGAAATAAGTTGGTATTTAACAAATTCAACATAAACTACATGGTTGTTATATATGAGTTCCCTACTGGACAAACAATACTGCCTGATGCTTTATGATTCTAAGAGGATGTCAATTAGTACAGATAGTAGACAAAGATAGACAGACAGAGACACAGGAATGAGACAGATGACATTAGGTCTATTGTATCTGTTTATGTACATCAAGATGTGAAACTAAAATATTTACCAGGACAGGAAACCCCCGGAAGGTCAGACCATAACTCACACTCGCCATCTTTAGGCCAGACACAAAAAAAAAATGTTTCACGAACATGTTGGAAAATTAAAGGTAGGTAGGTAGGCAACAGATTTTTATAACAAATAATTTTATATTCTTTATATAGGAGAGTGATCTGGACTTTAACAGTGCTTCTTTGAAAATTGCCTTAAAAGGATTAGGGTAGGCACAAAACATTTGGGTAGGTAGGGTTACCGGAAACACCAAATAGTTTTTGTTTGGCCTTTAGTGTCCCAATATCAAATGGATAGCAACGTATTGCCAGACAAACACAATTTTCAGAGATATATACCCTAATTTTATATCAGAGCAATATTATGAGCTGCTGGCTTTGGAAATCAACTTTCATAAGGCTAACTCTAGTACTGCAGTCCTCCAAATACAAAGATCTATGATCAGCCTTCTAGCCAGTCACCAGTGCCAGACTGGTCTGTTCCCTGTCCAGATCCTCTACCCAATAAATTATGTATAAAAGTCAACATCAACAAAAGTCAGCAATGAACAAGCAAATTCGTGGAATATATCCCCCGCTTGCAGGACATATTGTAGGTTCACATTATTGAGGTTAGTTTTAAACATGTGAGTATCGTGCTGATGAGACATAATGTATGAGTGTATTTATTTGTCTCTTCATGCCCAGCATTTAAGCATAAAGAGTTATATCATTTCAGGGACTTAATGTATAGCCCTATACCTCATTGATTATCCGTAAATATGCACAAATCACATCAGTCGGCAAACTTAACATGAGTCGGATGTGCATACAGAATTTGGTTGAAACATCTGAACAATATCTACAGCATTTATCACACGAAAACCAAAGAGTAACCAAGATGGGT